AGGGGGGGGGGCGCTAGTAGCGCCAGAGAAGCAGGGGGGGGGGCTAGTAGCGCCAGAGATGCAGGGGGGCGCTAGTAGCGCCAGAGAAGCAGGGGGCGCGCTAGTAGCGCCAGAGATGCAGGGGGCGCTAGTAGCGCCAGAGAAGCAGGGGGGGCGCTAGTAGCGCCAGAGAAGCAGGGGGGGCGCTAGTAGCGCCAGAGAAGCAGGGGGCGCGCTAGTAGCGCCAGAGAAGCAGGGGGGGCGCTAGTAGCGCCAGAGAAGCAGGGGGGGCGCTAGTAGCGCCAGAGAAGCAGGGGGGGGCGCTAGTAGCGCCAGAGAAGCAGGGGGGGCGCTAGTAGCGCCAGAGAAGCAGGGGGCGCTAGTAGCGCCAGAGAAGCAGGGGAGGCGCTAGTAGCGCCAGAGAAGCAGGGGAGGCGCTAGTAGCGCCAGAGAAGCAGGGGAGGCGCTAGTAGCGCCAGAGAAGCAGGGGGGGCGCTAGTAGCGCCAGAGAAGCAGGGGGGGCGCTAGTAGCGCCAGAGAAGCAGGGGGGGCGCTAGTAGCGCCAGAGAAGCAGGGGGGCGCTAGTAGCGCCAGAGAAGCAGGGGGGCGCTAGTAGCGCCAGAGAAGCAGGGGGGCGCTAGTAGCGCCAGAGAAGCAGGGGGCGCTAGTAGCGCCAGAGAAGCAGGGGGGCGCTAGTAGCGCCAGAGAAGCAGGGGGGCGCTAGTAGCGCCAGAGAAGCAGGGGGCGCTAGTAGCGCCAGAGAAGCAGGGGGCGCTAGTAGCGCCAGAGAAGCAGGGGGCGCTAGTAGCGCCAGAGAAGCAGGGGGCGCTAGTAGCGCCAGAGACGCAGGGGGCGCTAGTAGCGCCAGAGAAGCAGGGGGCGCTAGTAGCGCCAGAGAAGCAGGGGGGGCGCTAGTAGCGCCAGAGAAGCAGGGGGGGCGCTAGTAGCGCCAGAGAAGCAGGGGGGGCGCTAGTAGCGCCAGAGAAGCAGGGGGGGCGCTAGTAGCGCCAGAGAAGCAGGGGGGGCGCTAGTAGCGCCAGAGACGCAGGGGGGGCGCTAGTAGCGCCAGAGAAGCAGGGGGGGCGCGTAGCGCCAGAGACGCAGGGGGGGCGCTAGTAGCGCCAGAGAAGCAGGGGGGCGCTAGTAGCGCCAGAGAAGCAGGGGGGGCGCTAGTAGCGCCAGAGAAGCAGGGGGGGCGCTAGTAGCGCCAGAGAAGCAGGGGGGGCGCTAGTAGCGCCAGAGAAGCAGGGGGGGCGCTAGTAGCGCCAGAGAAGCAGGGGGCGCTAGTAGCGCCAGAGAAGCAGGGGGGCTAGTAGCGCGAGCCACAAGAACGGAGTGAGAAGCAGAGAGAGCAGTATGAGTGAGGGACTGGGCGTGTGGGCGGCTTTCGTGGTGCTGGCGACGGTTGCCATGGCATCACGCCGCCTACTGCCTCCACGCCCATATGACACACGCCCACAGCTCTACACCGCGCCTGGTGCTGCTTACACGCCCACAGTCACACGCTGTGAGCGCCCACACGACCTGGCGGCCACGGCCACACTCCACGCCTCATCCACTCCGCCTTCTCTCTATTACTTTGTCTAACAATCCATTTCCCCACAACCCTGCCCTCATCCGTCAGGTGGGATGGAGGAGAGAAAATATGACAGAGAAAAGGAGAAATAAGGAAAGAAAAGACAAATTGTAAGCGGGGGAAACGAATGCTATATCAATCCACACTGAAAATATTCAAACTGATTACAATTCCTATTAAATAATAAAGATGAACAGGCGATCACTGATAGGACTAGCACACATTCCTCCCCCGCTTCCTAGCCACTACCCGCACCACAGGAATGGGTGAGGGGGGAGGGGAGGATCAGCTGAATAATGCAAGGTGCAATAATGGGTAGAGGGGTGATTGGGCAGAGGGGGGGGGGAGCAAAGTTGGGCACGAGGGCAGTAGGATAGTAGTGCGCTAATGCTTGGGGGAGGGGAGGGGGGGGGGAAGTGATAGGTAAGAGTATTGGGGGAGGGGAGACGGTGAAGAGGATGGGAGGAGGGAAAGCGGGAGAAGGTGAAGGGTGTAAGATGTGGGGGGGAGGAGGGAAAGCGGGAGGTGGTGGGGGGGAGCAGGAGATGGTTGGGGAGGAGGGGGGGGGGAAGAGAAGGTGCGTGGGGGGGATAAGGTGCAGGGGGGAAGGGGGGAGGGGGGCCAAAGACGAGGGGAGGAGTAAGAAGGTGGAACGTGGCATTGCACCTTATGTGCTTATCAGTGAGTCATTATATAACTTCCGGCCAGCGAGGGTTAAGGAGGGTAGAGGTGTGAGGGGAGAGGCTAGGGGGGAGAGGTTGGGGTAGAGGGGATCTTTATGATCATGTGGATGGAAGGGAGGGAGATAAAGATGAGACGGTGGATGCTGGTGCATGAATGCTGGAGAAATTAAGAGTGAAAGAAAAGAATTGTGGTGAAGCGAAGCCAAGACCTACAGAGAAAAGATAGAAGCATTATTAGACAATACACAATCGGGAAAATGATAGAAGAGAAAAAAAAACATGAACTATGACTTAGTCAAGATAAACTGGAGGGTAAGAATATTTTCAACACCACACACATACACACCACCTCAGCATCCTAATAATCCTTAGCAAAATTCAGAACAGAAATCGTCAATGGCGCTCTAGCTATCCACTAGGCTTCACAGCTCTCGACTCCATTCTTTTTACCTCTTTGAGATCAAACTTACTGTGCATCGTACTTGCAAACAAATATGTAGATATATTTCAATGTTTACAAGTACAACTGCTTACCTGAAACAAATTTTGGTATGTAGCCTAATGCTACAGTCTGACAAAGCCACCTCCACCCAGGTTATGCTGAAGTGGTAAATTAGAAAATGTAAGCTCTACTCCCAGAGCAACGATATGCAAGTTTTTTACCCTACACGCCAAACTGGACTCGTTCAACCGAGGGCCGGAGAGGCGCCAAGAAGTATATATAAAAAAAGAACAATGAAATTGCTTGGCTATCTGGGAATGGTGTAGAATGTGTGGCCACCACATCCTTTGCCACCACAACAGCACCTCTGCCACCACAACAGCGCCTAGATTAAGCCTATAACGTGTCAAGTTACAAAACTCCATTTACCAAACACCGCAACAACAAAATAACGCGGGGCGACAGAGAAACCCACGCGTGGCAACAACTTAAAAACCTCAGGCAAACACACACACAGTAAATACAAACATGAGATGAGCGAGAGGTGATGGAGGGGGAGGAGGAGGAAGAGGGGTTCCCAGGAATATCTAAACAAGAAGTCATGTTGTTGGTACCAGGGGAGAGGGGGGGGGATAAAACTAGCTCACCATTATCATTATAACAAGGTTGGTTGGGGTCAAGCCACAGCGGCACAGGTGCGCAAACTGGCCTAACTTGTAACTACGAGTAACGATAAATCATATTATCGGGTATACAAGGAGGGTCATACAACACTTTTTGATCCTATGTGCAGATAGTTGTGATGACCATTCCTCCCCACATTAAACACATCCATATTTGTACACGCTGGATAGACTAGGCTATTGGAATGCAAATTAATTTATATTTTTCTGCATTAAAAGAACTCTTTTGAAACGCTTTCCAGGACTAATGGGTATTTGCTTCGATCCGAGAAGCGGATTGTTGTGTTACGTACGATAACAAGATTAAAACCATCCAGCTGGTGTTTATGTAATACTTTGTTGTGTCCACAACACACACTTGGTCAAAACCATTTCTCTAAACCTGTCAGCACTTTATTCATTGGCAAATTGGGCAAACAAAATTGTCGAACAGCGACTCGCGGAATTTCCATATTAACCTCTTAAGGAAATGACAATTCAAGCTAACTTGCTGCCGCCTCAAAATTCCATTCATAAACCACATACAAAAAAAAAAAAAAAAGCTTCTGCTCCTTTGGCGTGCGCCCCCCCCCCCTTCCCCAGCGGCGAGAGCCCCTGGAGGAGGCAGAGAGAGGGAAGAGGAGAAGGAGGTAGTGGAGGTGGGGAGGGCAGGTCTCTTCTCCCTCGTACTCCGTATTGATTGTTTTGGCTGGACTGGCAACCCAAGCCGGGCGCGTGGGTGAATGGGTCCTGTTTATGTATTCTTTCATTCACCCCCCGCACTGGCTACACCCTCCCAGCACTACCTTCTCCCTCCCTCCCACTCGTCACTGCCTCATTTTCCTCCCACTAGTCATTACCTCTTCTCCCTCCTACTCGCCGCTACCTCCTCCTCCCTCCTACTCGCCGCTACCTCCTCCTCCTCCTGCCTCCTACTCGCCGCTACCTGCTCCTCCTCCTGCCTCCTACTCGCCGCTACCTGCTCCTCCTCCTGCCTCCTACTTGCCGCTACCTCCTCCTCCCTCACACTAGCCACTAACGCCTTCATGTTAACCGTAAAATCACTAAATATTTATTTCATTAAACGGGGTAAACTAACCATGTATGTGTCGAGGTGCAGCTGCGTCCTTGCCTAGCTAGGCCGAGACTGCACCTCATTATCTGGGTAAATCGTCAACCCTCCTCATGTGATCATGTTATCACCAAGATAACCCTGCGGTTAAAAACAAACAGCAGCAAACACTAGTGCAGGTCGGGCCCAGAACCCATACAGAGTGACTGGGCGAGGAGAGCCAAGGCCACACACTCTTCTCTAGAGGTGCGGTTATTGAACATTCCTCAGATTCGTAACACACATTCATAGGACATTCAACAGGACGCGCTTACAGATACCGCGCCCCGGCCAGCTGGCTCTACGGGAGCAGTCCCCAAGACTGACATGTGATAAGTGATAGAGCAACGATAAGACGCTATAATAGTGTTTGCCACTGACCTGTGAACCTAAGTATACTAACTGTCTAATTTAATCTTTGTTTTGTCAAGATTCCCCCGATGGATTCAACGGTGTTATGGATGAACATTGTGTGCGGCTACCAGACAAAATATTGATGTAGAAGAGAGGGTGATAATGAACCAAGAGTGCCAGGAACACAGCCTACCTGACAAGCAGTGCGCGCTGCACCCTTCCTGATTGAACTTCCGGCACAGGATGCTCATGAGGGTGGGCGTGTGAGGGTTGTAGGCGTGGGCGTGGTCGTAGAGGACGATGGGGACACACTGGTGCAGTCTGGCCAGGCGGTCGCCGCCGTCAGAGGCCAAGTGCCGCACCACCTGCGGGAGACTCAGCTTGCCGGAGGCCAGGCGCCGCAGCATAAGGGACGGTAGACCCACACTGACGCCGCCGCGGATGTGACCCGCAGCGTAGTCGTCCGCACCTCGACAATCTAGCACCAGTATCTCCTCGACGCCATGCGCCTGCCGCAGCGCCTCGCACAGGAAACTGGCCTCCACCACCGGCGCTGCGCTCACCCCGCTCATGCTGCTGGCGCCGCTGTATCCTGCTGCGGCCTCACCATCAAGAGAAGGCATGGCGGAGCATGGGCACTCCACGGCTACTACTGCTCTTCCAGGACATGTACATACACTTACTGCGACATCAACTGTGACTGTCAAGCACCAACGTCAACACACTTTCCAAGCACAGCTCAACAAGACACGTCTTCACTCCAAGCAGCCGTACCACCATCTGAATTAGCAGACCATTGATGAAAACGTCCCTAGTACGAGCCGTGGACGTCACTATCTGTGGGTGACCAATCCCAGCGCAGCAGCTTGTGACGTCAACCAATGAGAGCTGGCCTTGCGGCTCCCATTCTGGCGACCAATAGTAGAGTGCGGCGAGGGCCAATCACCTCGAGTTCTTCTTGATGACGTAAGATTACCTCTAAAAGGAAAGCATTACCAAAAAGCGCGGGAAGCAGAGAAAACATGAATCAATCTGATCAATATTTTACACCGTATGTAAACACGCCACCACACGCGTTACTCATATACTAACTCCATTTAACAACTTTTTTTTTACCTATCGGTACGAAACGAAAGTAAACGAAAAAATCTGACATTGTGGACATGCAGCGGACTCAGGATAGCCAAATACAGCAAGGTCGGACTGCTGAGTAGGTGGGTGAGGGGAGGGAGGGAGGAGCGGAAGGAAACTGCTCAAAGATCCCTCCAAGAATATCTTAAATTGTATCACCATTCATAACCACGTCAGTCATTGTTTGCTTCACCGCGGGGAGCTAAGCGAGAGGGCTCGGCCACTCCTGTGGAGGCGCGGACGGCGGCTGCACACCACCTTTACCAATATATTACCATCACTAATATATTCATTCACAATTTGCATACTTAAATTGATGCACAGGGTACTCGCACGCTTCTAACACTCGTTACCGTGCTAAACTTTATTATGGTATTGTCTATCCAATCATATAACCTAGAGTTTTGAATACACGAAAGACATTAGGCTATTTATCGAACACAAACAAGGTACTTACAACTAGGTACTTACCTAGATATGGTAAGTACCTAGTAAGTATGGTGACAACTAGGTACCCCGCAAGCACAACTAGGTACTTACCTATTTGTGCTTGCGGGGGTTGAGCTCTGGCTCTCTGGTCCAAATTGTAGATGAGTACACGTGGAATTTGCGTACCTGAGTCACACAGGCCTTATAATAATGTCTTATATCAGTTACAAACAAATGGAGTGCACTGAGAGATGAAGTGGCGGAGGGAGACAACACAGGAAATCCACAGTGGCAAGTGTGGTAGAGCTTTTGCCTCGCGTTCGTGGAGTCGGGAGTTCGAGTCTCCCAGTGCTCGAGTGAATGAAATGAAAGACTACAAAACCTTATAGAGGACATTTTCACAAGTCAGTTGAAGCATCAGAGGCGGGACCAAATGGCGGAAACTTAACTCGTGCAAGCATAATAAGACGTAAGATTACGTCTGGACGTAAGATTAGATGAGTATACACTAACGTAGGACGAGGCACCGCTTTTCCCAGCCTAGAAGCAGTGGATAAAGGACAGAAGCAAGAGAAAGAGGAAATCAAGGATAATACAATTCATAGCCTTAAATAATATAAATCAATCAATCAATAATTTGATTCATAAATTGTTTTATACATTTATAGTTGGATTAGTTTACACAAATTTACAGTGAATTATTTACCTAAAATCTATAATAAGAACATGAAATATCTGACGATGATAATACAATTTAAAGAACTGATGTAAACTAACCATACAATTCAACATATTTCAACATCAACTCAACGCTACATCAACAACCTCGTCCCAGGTTTACCCTGGGAGATTAACCCTTCTTGGATTATCATCATTTAGCCATTTGTTTGTAATTTTGCTCCATTAAAATGAACTCATTGCAACCCACACTGACCCACCTGTGCAGGGAGAACACACAGGTGCAACACACAGGTGCTACACACAGGTGTCAAGACCCCAGCCACAACAGTATTCTAAGCCTGCATCCCATAAATCACTAAGAATTCTAAATGACCCGACCAGGATTCGAACCCATGAATGCCAGGATCACCACCCCCCAACACAGTACTGTGACCACCGCACTATTGATCGTCTAATGGGTCATTTAGCCATGTCACTTATATCTTAGTGATATATGAGAGAGAGAGAGAGAGAGAGAGAGAGAGAGAGAGAGAGAGAGAGAGAGAGAGAGAGAGGGAGAGAGAGAGAGGGAAGAGAGAGAGGGGAAAGAGAGAGAGAGAAGAGAGAGAGAGAGAAGAGAGAGAGAGAGAGAGAGAGAGAGAGAGAGAGAGAGAGAGAGAGAGAGAGAGAGAGAGAGAGAGAGAGAGAGAGAGAGAGAGAGAGAGAGAGAGACAGGCGAGTGGTCTCACAGTAGCTGAACAGAAAGCCTGGGGGAAGAGAGAGGTAGGGGGGGATGGGGGTTGCTGGTGGGGGATTAGAGGGGGGGGGGGGATGGTGAAGGTGTTGAGCCTCAAGTTGGATAAGTTGTGGAGGGGAAGGGGGGGAGGGGGGACGGCTCATCCGGGAGCGGCAAGTGTTACCAGACACGCGGGAGTTTCATATCCCCGTAACCTGAGATCCGGCCCGCAGTCACTGATACACACACACACACACACACACACACACACACACACACACACACACACACACACACACACACACACACACACACACACACACACACACACACACACACACACATGTCACCAACCCTGATATACAGACACAATAGTCACTCGCATCCCAATTTGCGAATGATGCAAAAATTGAGGAGAAAAACCATGGAAGCGTCCGGGGAGAGACGAGAAGGTAGACGCGCCCCAGCGGTGCCCAGACAACACCTTCCTCTACCTCTACCTCTACTTGGCGTATGTCTACCTCAGACATACGCCAAGTAACGAAGGGAGGCAGAGGAAGGAACCAGGCGTCAGATTTACGAAGCAGTTACGCAAGTACTTACGAACGTGTACATCTCTCCTCAATCTTTGACGGCTTTGTTTACATTTATTTAACAGTTTACAAGCATGAAAGCTTGTCAATCCACTGTTGTTATTGTTATAAACAGCCTCCTGGTGCTTCGGAGCTCATTAACTGTTTAATAATTGTAAACAAAGCCGCCAAAGATTGAGAAAAGATGTACAGGTTCCTAAGTGCTTGCCTAACTGCTTCGTGAATCTGAGGCGAGGAATACATGTAACACCAAATTACAAATAAATCACAGTGTATATATATATATATATATATATATATATATATATATATATATATATATATATATAATAATAATAAGGAAACCAGTTGGATTCGAACCAGCGATCTTGTGAGTACCAGACGCTTGACTTAATCGTGGCCGAGTGGGCTAAGAAAAGAACACACACTCACACAATAATAACTGCAAACATGAACTAGAGAGACAAAGATCATGACAGCCTTCAGGAATCTTATTTTTTTTCTATTTCTAATCGACTATTTCATTCTGGAAGCTGCTCTTTCTAATTGTGATGAGGCTACGTTTAACACGGTGGGGTGGGGAGGGGTCTTGTTCTTGTAACGAGGCTTTGTGGTGTGTGTGTGTGTGTGTGTGTGTGTGTGTGTGTGTGTGTGTGTGTGTGTGTGTGTGTGTGTGTGTGTGTGTGTGTGTGTGTGTGTGTGTGTGTGTGTGTGCGTGTGTGTGTGTGTGTGTCAGAGAGAGAGGGGGGGGGAAGACTAAGCCCTACCATGAGACACCGACCATCAGCCTCGTTCAAGTCAGGTCAGCATTACCGGGTGTTGGGACCAGGTGAGCGAGGGCGTGGCCGAGCAGGTGGTAGATGTGGGCGTGTCCCGAGCAGGTGGTGGGTGTGGGTGGGCGTGCCCCGAGCAGGTGGTGGTGGGTGTGGGCGTGGACCCCAGCAGGTGGTGGGGGGTGCTGGGACGAGAGGTGGTGGGAGAGGGAGCTAGGTAAGCACTCCCTTCAATGGGAACACATCGCCAGGGTAACATACCAGTGTACCTGCGAGACCTCTAACGATGATGACTTGAGACGTTGCATTAAGCATGGAGGGGGGGGGGGGGGGGGGGAGGGGGGTCTTGTGCCAGGTATGTGCCAAGTATACATGATGTGCACACACACCTGGCGAGACTCGGGGGTCGGATGTGTAGTTAATACACCGATGCTTCTCTCCATAACATCTGACACCAAGTTTCAAGGTCACTACACATGAATGTCTTATTACACAAACAAATACACGTGTCAGTCATTCGATTTGTGTGTTTTTTTGTTTCTAGATGATTGTCATTCAAAAAAAATCTGAGATTGATTGACATGTGTTGTTCTTATCTCTTTCTCAAGACCATCATATATATATATATATATAACCTCTCCTGAAACTACCTTGTGATAGAGACATAACAACACCCTTATCTCGTAACTTATATAGCCATGTTGTGCAGAGAATGTCACAGTAACGAGGCTGATTATAAACAACCCAGCACACACACACCAGGGCCCCAGGATTTACAACCATCTACGAAACCAGTTCATCCTTCCTGAAATGCTTTGTTTACATTTATTAAACAATGAGCTCTGAAGCAGAGGTTGTTTACAACCCACATCAACAGTGTGTTGTGAACCCTCCTCAGGTTGTAAGCGGGTAGCGACGATGTTGTGAGCTTTGGGTAAATAGATGGACCCAATTTCGTTATTAAACTATATTATTTCAGAGTAAAAATATGTTTTTTTAATGTTCTACATTCAGCACCAACATTATAGTGAGTAAATATGTCATATTTCTTCGTAGGTAATGACATATAAATATGTCATTACTGCTAGGAAGCTTTGAGTAATTAGACGAACAGGGAGGGGGGGGGGAGTGATACAGAGGCACATTACAGGGGGTTACAGGAGGGGGGGGGTTACAGGCCTCAGGAACTGAAACCCCCCAAAATTCATTTAGCTAAGCAAGTTACAATCTCGGTAAGATAGTTTGAGTTCGCAATTTCAATATATTTTAACTGATATCTGGTACTTCTTTAATTTTCAAGTTATAAAACTCTGCATCTGTCAGCTCTGAACTGACAGAGTCTAATGTCTAATTAGAATCTGTCAGCTCTGAGCTGACAGAGTCTAATGTCTAATTAGAGCTGTGTATAATTATCTGGCCATTTGTGACAGAAGACATCATCCTTTATCGTCTCTTCCGTCCACATTACAGGTGTGT